GTTAACTTAATTTCAATACTTATCTGTTAATCTCGTAATTAGCTTTATTTTTTAGACATAATCTATACATAATTCTTTACAGAGTTTATAAACAATCATTTGCTTTATATTGTTCTTGGCATTTTGCGAGAATCACAGTTTTGACTTTTGCTCCCAAAATGTGAAATATCAATACTTTCGCTGATCTTTCCTCGTGCTGATCTTTCCCGTGCTGAAATTTCCGTGCTGATCTTTCCTCGTGCTGAAATTTCCGTGCTGATCTTTCCTCGTGCTGATCTTTCCTCGTGCTGATCTTTCCCGTGCTGAAAATTCCGTGCTGAAATTTCCGTGCTGAAATTTCCTTGTGCTGAACTTTCACCCTTCCCTTTAACTTTATCAGAGATTTTTTTCAGATCGAAGTTATAAATTCGTAGTCTAGGCCGCTCTTTCAGCGCAATGCGTCTAGGGCCTTTCTAGTCGGCCGTTTGTGGAACGTTACTAAATGACAAGATCAGCCTGGATAGGGTTAAGTAGGCATGCACCGAGACGAGAAGTCTCGAGAAACCTCGATACTGTAGTCTCGAGTCTCGAAATGTTTCGATACCCGAAACTTTAGTCTCGATTAGTCTCGAGTCCCGAAAGTTTCAGTCTCGACGCTCGAAAGTTTCGATCTCGAATAGTCTCGAGTCTTATTACTTGTATAGGATCCTCTCATTTGCTTAGAAAATCGAGGAACCCGTTTTGTGTTGCATAAATTTTTCTGATTTTAATAAGATGGGTGTTGGAAGACTTTATTTCAGTCGCTGTGTGTGTATTTTACTCATAGTCATGAACTGGACTAAAGCTGAATGCGCTAAAGGTCATTCTTTAAGATCTAACTTTCCAGAAAAGAATAGAACGCATCTGCCGCCCTAAACTCCAAGGTATGTCGGCTGTCTTTCCGAGCAAGCAGGAGCCGAAGCAGACCAACCTTGTTTTGTTTCTGTTACTTATTTACTTTCTTTTTTTTTATTACAAAAACGTTACACAACTTCACAACAACATAAAAAGTAGCCTCGGAAAGTTTCGATACCGGCACTTAAATATCGAGACTATTCGAGGCTGAAACTTTCGAGGCTCGAGACTATTCGAGACTAAAGTTTCGGGTATCGGGTACCCCGTCTCTGTGCATCCCTAGGGTTAAGTGATGACCAAAAAGCATATCACGTGCCTAAATGGAGAAATACACTTTCTATACATCCCTATAGCGCATATGTCTACAAAAATTTGACTATCAGATTCTTTGCAGTGTTCTCGTACGGAAGTCGCAGATGTTTTTATATGTATGAATAGAGGGTAGTCTAATGAATCTAACAGGAAGAAGCTTTTTCAATTTGAAACAAATTCGAGGTGCTAAGTCTTGGAGGTATTCTCTTTTTTAGCGTAGGAAGATCTTGTCTCATCCAAATAAATCCAACAGAAGGAAAAGATATCGAAAGAAACGATGTTCATGTTTAGGTGTGAACCTAGGTTAAAAATGGCGCCAAAGTAATAATGCTTAAAATTTTTTTTCTCAAATTTTCGGTTTGAAAATTGATGCTGAGTTAAAGTAGAATTAATTCAAAGATTTTTGATATAAATGTATATAGATAAGCCTGTATTTCTGAGCGATGAAATTTTGTTGAAATAGTGAAAGAGTCATAACTGAGTCTATCCATATATTTAGGAAAAACGTGAATCGCAGACAGTCGAACAAAATAGTCGTGACTATTATGCTTTTAAAGCAGCTAACTATTCAGAAATATTAGCACAAATGATAGTTGATTATCGACTGTTTTATCCTGTTGATTGCCGTATGCATATTTGTCTCAAGAGCACGGCAGAAATAATAACAACTCAAATATTTATTGTCGTTCCATTTGGAGAAAGCGTATGTAAGTATAGATGACGAGCGTGATTCTCTGTCCGACATTCAATTTATCTTCACCAGATTTCATATTCTTCCTATATTCAGTTAAACGCATGCATCTTGTTGGGAGACTTCAGTTTACATAACTGGCTTTGGTCATTTGCATGTCTTCGATAAAATTATTTCCTCCTCACAGGACCCTTGTTTACACGACTTTCAGCCATTTTCAAACACTAGAAACAGTATCCTGATGTCAACTCTGGCTTTCTAAGAATGGAATATAATATATAAGGAGTTATCTGATGCATTTTTCCTTTTCAGTTTTATCATTCTTCAGTTTAACAACGTCAAGCGGTGGTAATGGTGATAATAGTAAGAATAATTCAACAATACTACAAATACCGCCAACATCAACTCTCAATAATCAGCCACAGCAGCTGTCATCAGCCTCGAGTAAAACTGAAACAAAACCTTCTCCTCCCACGAAGGCTAAGACTTCTAAACGACCGAAACCAACTAAACCAACAAAAACAAAGACAAAATCAGCTCCATCTGTTCAATCGTTCACTTCATTATTTTCGTTAAAAACGTCAAATGCAACGAGAGCCACAAGTAATCAGACACAAACAGAGTCATTCGTTGCATCCACTAGTGGTATGTAGTCAGCTCTTCCTCGTGAGATCTCACAGAAATCGAAAAGTAGTTTTAGGACGTTTGAATAAGTTTGAAAAGAAAAGATTTCTTTCAATTTTTTTCTCTTATTAAATATCTATTGTTAAAAGTAGAAACACGATACGATCTAGCGTTGCCTAATTAGGCATTAGCATATAACCGGAATGAAAACGTTAGCATCCGTAGGTAACAGTTGGCCTTTCTGTATGCCGAATTTTCGAGGTCATCTGACAGTTCACTAAAAAGACTTTATTTAGAGTGTTTATCTTTGATTATGACTAATAGAGAAAATAATATGAATGCTAATATAAACCCGACTTTAAAATTTGTCTTTGTTGTTGTCTATACTTTATATCTGAGAAGGTAATAGACTTTTCTACTCAGATCTATTCGCAGTTAGGGTGGAAAATGTATCAAGTCTTTTTCAGCACCTCTGGACGTGTCGATCGAGTTAACAGACCAAGTTACTACTACAAACATGCGAAAAATAATAACAAGACAAAGCCCAGTATCGTCTGGTTCAGCTCATTCATTAACTTTCACTACTATACTTGGGCAGGCACAATCAGAAGAAACTCAGTCAGCAGATCACACAATCACTACACGAAAACTTCGTAAAACTCGCATTCCAAATGAACCCCATAGAACAGGAACTACAAGAACTATCCAAGTTAGCGAAAGAACACCCTCAACCATGATCAGTAAGTAACATTAAAATCTCATTTTTTTTCTGCTTTTGTTCCATGACTCGAAAATAGAATAATGATGATTGCATAGACTAGTCAGTCATGAGGGAAATAAAGTTATTGATTCTCCCTTCAAGGTAATATTTTACTGGAATTTTCTTTTCTGTGACCTCCACAAAACGTCTCACAAAATATTCTGCTATTCTAATCTATTACACCAAAGAACATTTGTCAAATTTGTATATAAAATTATATCCAGAGGAAAAACTCTTTTTCTGGACATTCAGATGGCACAAACTCAAACCAGGCATCTTCTTCAAGTTCAAATGGAGGAAACAGCGAGGTGACCATCACTTCACGAGTAAGTTCAGGTGGCATCGCCATCGAAGAGGCATCCACTACTAAGTCAACTGGAACAATTACCGAAAAATCTCCAAGCACTGGAACAGCGGACACCAATACGGAACTTACTCCTACTACTGAGCTCACTGGAACAAACACTACTGAAGCAACGGAAACAAGGACGAAGCAGGCCACTGTGGCCGGTACAATGACAAATGCTGGTATGTGTATATCTTGAGACGATGCTAAGCTAACGTGCATATTTAAAAGCGATATGTTGTCGAAATTAGTAACACAAGATGATGTTATATCATCGATAAGCGAAAGAAGGATTCTCGCCCCAGTTGTGTGCTGTGAAAATGAGCTTTTATGTTCACCTTAGTGCGAATGAACACAGCGCATCTAGCCGCGGATACTACGTCTACAGATCTAGTAATATTCAACACAGTCTGCGTGTATTTTCTCGAATCAAACCTAACAGAAAACTACAAATCAGCCAATTTGATTTCTTATGCAACCAGTATACAATTTTATAACAGCAATTATCGCCGATATTAGTTTTGTATGATCCAAAGCTCAGTCATGGAGACAAGGCTGTGGACAGAATAGTGTGACAATTGAGTAGACTATTATATTCTTCCCTGTTTTTCAGCGACTTCAACATCGACATTGACGACTACAAGTAGGTTTATCTTGTGTAGAAAATACACCAAATACATCGGTCGCAATGGTGCAGACTAGCTTTAATCTAAGAAACTAAGCTGAATACAGAGGCGTATGTGTAGTAGAAAACTAGGCCCTATTTCC